TAACTAAGTGAAGATTACTTTGGATCAAGCACTTGAATTCATTCATTTCTTCAGTAAAAACTTATTGAGCGTTAGTATGTGTCTGGCAGAGTTCCACCTCTAGACTAGGATACTTTATCAAGTCTATGCAAACTTTTCCAGAAAAGGAGTAGGAAAGACAGAATCCAAATAGTGAAATAATAAACTAAGCCCCTGCCCTCGTGGAGAGTAATAATTAATAAATGAAAAAACATTTATTTCATGTTGCCAGCTATTCATGTTCCCCAAATAGAACATCTTGACTTCTAGTTTTCTGAGATTCTGCTCTAAAGAATTGCTGCCATCCATAACACACATCATTTGAAGAGGAGATAAGGATGTATTTTCTCTTTTATAATTTAATTACATATAGTAAGAGGAAGGGGAGTTTCGAAGGTGAAGATAAAAGGTGTTGAAGTTTTCTTGCTGGATCCCAGATAGTGAGTCTTTTCATCTAATTGATACTATTTAACATCTGTGCAAATTCTTGGGGAGACCTCCCCAGTACCTGACACTTTGGGGATATAGACTAAGGTACTTTCTGGTGCATTTTATGGCATTTGGACACCCTCTAGAGGCCAGATAGTATACCTGAAAAAATCTTGCTGCTATGCTGAAGTGTTTTTTTGGTGATAAATGTCTGCAATTTACTATGAAATGTATTAAAAATAAGGCCAGTTAAAAGATGACTGGACAGATACATAGATGGTTACATATGTAATAAAGCAAATACAACAATGTTATCCTAGAATCCAGGTAAAGGGTATATAGATCACTGTGTAATTCTTTCAACTCTTCTATGAACATTTATATCATGAAATATTGAATAAAGATCTGTGTTAGACTCTGAAGAAAGAAATGGAGAAACAAAGATTTTTCCAGACAAACACCAATTGACAAGATACATTGCTAAGAGTCTTGCAAAACAGGGCCTCCCCGGTGGCGCAGCGGTTGAGCGCTGGGTTGCAAAGCTGCCCGCGGCCTCTGCGGCACCGGTTCGATCCCCGGCTGCTCCCCGGCCACCAGAGGAGGGTCCCACATGGAGCGCAGACCTCTCCTGGCGCCCGCTGCTCCCCTCAGCAGTGTACTTCGGTCCTTCTGCCTGCTCTGCTCCCTGCTCTGGCTCTGGCGAATTCTCTCACCCTCCCGCGCTTCTGACTGTACCCAGTGCATGTATAAACAAAAAACAAACAAACAAACCAGCAAACAAATAAATAAAGCATGCCTCTATTAAAAAAAAAAAATAAGAGTCTTGCAAAACAAAAAATGTTAAAAGAAGCTTGTTAGGCAGAAAAGAATGATTCCAAATGGAGATTTTGATCTACACAAAGGAATGAGAGTACTGAAAATGGTGAATATGAAGACTTTTTTCCTCAGTTAAAATATGTTTGATAGATAATTGTGTGCTTAAAGAAGAAGTAATAACAATATATTTGGAGATTATAATTTTATATAAACTAATAGAAGTAAAGGGTATAACAACAAGGAAAAAACAGCACAAAAACACAAAACTTGAGATCGATGGATGGAAGTATAGTTCACTTAAACTTTATGTGAAGTAGGACATTTGAAAGTAAGTGGAGGTAAATTAAAGATATTATACACCCTGGACAAATCCATAATTTAGCTGACTGTGTTAACACGCCTTTTTCAGTAATTGAGCAAACAATTAGAATGGAACTCAGTCAGGACACAGAAGATTTGAACTATACTGTCAAACAACTTGACCTAACTGGCATTTACATAATATTACTGGCATAATAATACCAGCAAGAGCACAACACATGTTCTTTCCAATGCACAGAGAACATTGAACGAGATAGACCACATTCTGGGCCACGAAACAAGTTTCTTTAGACTTCAAATGGTTAAATAAGAAAAGTATGTTATTGAACCACAATATAAACTAGAAATCAATATAAGGAGATTGATTTGAAAACCCCACCTATTTCAAAATTTAATAACATACTTCAAAATAGTACACAGGTTAAAGAAGAAATCATGTTATATCAGAAAATATCCTGAATAAAAATAAAAACAACATATCAAAATGTATGAGATATAGTGGAAACAGTTTAAAGGAAAATCCACAGTATTAAATGTGTGATCAATGAATGAAAATTTAAAAACAATGATCCAACATTTCAACTCATCAACCTAAGAAGAAGAGAAACAAATTAAACCCAAATTAAGCAGAAGAAAGAAAAAAAAAAAGGCCAGAAATCAATTAAATCGGAAACATAAAAACAATAGAAAAAATAAATGAAGCCAAAAACTGGCTGAAAAAATCAGTAGTCAAAATGATTAAGAATTAAAAAGACACAAATTATCAACATCAAGAACAAAAGAGGAGACTCATTGGGATCCTACAAATAGTAAAAGGATAAAAAAGGAATATTATAACATGCCCAAAGAGTCAACAACTTGGATGAAATGGATAAAGTCTCTGAAAGTCACCAATTTTCAAAGCTCATTTCAGAAGAAATCAACTCCTGAATAGCCCACCTACTGAAGAAATTGAATTTGTAATTCAAGCCTCCCCACAAAGAAAATTCCTAGCCCAGCAGCTTTATTTTGGTAAATGCAACCAAACATTTAAGGAAGATACTGTATCAATTCTATGCAAACTTTTCCAGAAAAAGAGTAGGAAAGACAGAATTCAAAAACAGACTCACACATATATGATCAATTCACTTTTAACAAAAGTTCTAAGATAATCTAATGGGGAAAGAAAAATCTTTTTTTCCTGAATTGTGCTATATCAACGGAACAATCAAAACAAAAAAAAATACCTTAACTATTCCTTACAAATTATATTCCCTATGAACTATTCATTCACACCACATACAAAACTTAACTCAAAATGGGTACACCTAAAGGTGAGAATTAAAAGCGCAAAACTTCTAGAAAACACAAGAGGATATCTTTATGAACTTGGATTAAGCAACTAGGACAGTTTACAGAAGCTGTGGAAGCCACACAGCTTGTACCACTAGTAGCAGAACCAGTCTCCAAATCTTTAAATTCATGCTCAGACTTGGTCTACTGGACGGGCAAGGGATTATGGGCTTTGTGTGGAAATGAGTGAAAAGTCAGTGACTGCTCCCTTTTCCTTGTCAGCGTACCCCAATTAGAGAAGTAAGCGAGCCCCTTCCCAGGGACACCTAACTTACTGTCCCCGGGTGCCAGCACCCTCCTGTCTACCACCACACAGTCCAGCTTTTGTAACAGAGGCAGCTCCTTGAAAGGGGGCGGTGCCACACTCCCCACCCCACTTAATGAGGGAAGGAACTGAACTGCCAGGAAGTTAGAGATATGGAAGGCAGGTGGGCTCAGGGGGACACACAGGAGAGAGACTGGTAGAGAAAAGGGTGTGGGTGCGTCTCACCTTTGGACATGCACCAGGAACTTGGGGGACAAGTGTCCCTCTGCGGGACTCTCGGTCTGTTTTGGACAGACAGCTATCTCTCCAATTCAGAAAGCTCTCTAGGTCCCCTAGGCCTACTTCCCAGAAGGTGTTTAGACATCCATCCTCCATACCCCTGGGCACTCAGACTCCTTCCTTCCTGCACCTGCAAGGGGAGGGGGGCAATGGGGAGACTTAGAAAGCAGGATCCAAGCAGGGGGAGTGAAGAGTTGACTGTGTTCCAGCTCTATGGGCCACTAGCCAGGCCTCAGGGCTCACGCTCTGGGAGAGCAGGCTCCCCCTTCCCCAGGGTCCCCTCCTCTCTCTGACCCCTGCAAATATTTCCTAGGAGTCTGGGAGATCAGGGCCATGCTGGAGGGTGAGGAAGGACAACAGGGGTGCATGGGGTCCTTCCCCGGAAAGGGAGGCTCCCCTCCCCTCTTTGACGCAGGTCAGTGGGGACTGAGGAGAGGACGAGGAGGGCCCCCAGAGCAGAGCCCAAGTGAGGGTCAGATCCCTCACAGTTGATGGACTCTCAGCCCCTCCCCAGGGGCCCCCACAGCACTTTCTGGACCCAGACGTTTTCTGGCCTTGGGAGCAACAGGCCTGAGTGTCGGTCCTGGGCGATCCTGACCCTGTGGTCCCCCCACCCAGGGGTGCCTCTGGTTCTTCTGTTCACACCCTCCCTGAATGAGCCATCTGGGTTTTCCTGCCCCTGGGGCTGCAGGGCCCCATCTGACTCAATTCTCCTCTCAGGTCAGAACCCCTCATCCTCCCAGCAGGAGCCTGGTTGAAACACTCTGCACTGGGAATATTTTCTCTGACTCACCAGTCCCAAGTTAATCTGCAAGTGATGTATCTCGGTTGGTATAATGTTTTAATGAAGAAAGGTACAGAAAGCTCCCCGCAACACACATGCCAGCGACGCCCTGCCGCCCCCACCCCCCCGCCCCGACCCCAGGTCCTAGGACTCTTTAGCTCTTCCCTCTTGTGGTCTTACAGCCCCCAATTCTTTCTGCGCTCCTGTTAAGCCCCAGCACAGGAAAATGAGGTCTTGGCCTCCATACTGCAATGTGCTCTCTCTGGATCTCCTGAGGTGAAGAAGAAAGACACCCATATGCAAGGGTGGGGAGCATGCTGTCACCTCCATGGTCACTTGGCTTGGGACTGAGGCTAAGTAGCCCCTCCTTTTTTTTTCTTTCCTCCATGCCCTCCTGGCCGAGCCTCCTCACTCCCAGCAGCCTGGAGCGCCCGCCACTGCTGGTGTCTTCCATCCTTCCACACTTGGGATCCCCGAGATCCATCTCTTGGTGGCTGAGCCAGGCAGGGCCACCTTGGGAGACAGGGCTAGCAGCTGGGTTCTGCAAAGACACAAGGCTGGAACGTTCCTACTGGTCTCCAAGTGCAGCCGCCCCACCCACACACCTGGTACTGGTGAAGGCAAAGGAGCAAGAGGTCAGCCTGGCTGCTGTGTCCTCGGGGGCACTGGTCCCAATCCAGAGCCAGCATGTCCTCTCCAAGCCTGAGTCAAGCCTCTCCCTGGCCCTGGGGTGTCCCTACCACCTCTGACACCCCTTCACCCGGTGCAGGCACCGGCCAGGGTGCTGAGAATGGCTTCCCAGGTCCCTGAGTATCACAGACAGAAGAGACACCCAGTGCAGCACGGGGGCCACCTTTACACCAATTTCCATTCCATGTTTAAGGTGTACTTTTTTTTCTCTCCAAAACAGATGTTTTAAGTACTATTGGCAAAAGGTGTTTTTGAGCCAACATAGGCTATTTGTTTTACTAAAAGATCACAGAGGAGAGAATGGGCTTTGGGAGCACAAAATGCTTGTGACTGCATATTCGTGAAGCTGCAACACAGAGAAAGCCATAACGGCTTGACTGGAATGTGCTGCAAGGCCATAGTGGGAAGGTGGGCTCACACTCAGCCCTCTCTGAGAGCTGGTGATCCCACATCCTGCTCAAATGCAGCCTCTTAGAGATGGCAAAGCGAGGGCAGGAGGGAAGGTGATATAGCAGAGTTCTGACAGAGCCAGGTGGAGAACCCGGGGCCCTGGTGCTGACCCCCCACCCCACGCCATCACTCTAGAGCAGATAGGCCCCCAGGAGCTCCCTGAAGACCAGGTGGCCGCTGCTGTGGCTCTCCCCCTCTCCCCCCCACCCCGGCCAGGGCAGACACCTTTACCAATGACGATGAGGGTGGCAGTGCTGACCGCCTGACCCAGCATGTTCTCAGCCACTGCCTTGTACTCGCCGCTGTCCTTGAGGGAGACGCTGGGGATGACCAGGGAGCACACGCCCAAAACATCGGTGCTGTACACATCAGGGTTTCCTGCCAGGCTCTGGCCATTCTTGAACCAGGTGATGTGCGGCCTGGGCCAGCCCCTCACGGCACAGCTCATGCAGCACTGGCAGCCCCTGGGCAGCAGGTGGGCCCGCAGGCCCACCAGGAACCGGGGCTTCTGGCTCAGGTCAGGCCCCCGGTAAATTGGAGTCTGGACTCTGAACTTGTCTGTGGAGAGGAAGGGGGGGTGGCCAGAGTGGGAAGGGCTGGCTGAGGCACCCATGAGGTAGGAAGCTCCTGGGGCCACATGAACATCTCCTGGGCCCGCCTTTCACATCCTGCCTGCAGTCTTAAGGTCAAACGCTTCACTCTCTTTTTATCCTTCACTCAAAAGACTTGTTTCTTTTTTTTTTTTTTTTTAACTTCAAGGGGACACACTCACTACGGCCAATTAGAGTAAGAACCAAAAGGAGAAAGAATAAAAACAATAATCTTACTACCTATGGATGACCAAACTGTGGAACTTTCCAGACGTTTTTGGAAAAATGAAATCATGCAACCAGTTGTAGAACTTGCTTTTCCTACTGAATGTGTTCAAGGTTTGCATCTATTTGACTACAAAATACACTTTGTGTTCAGAGAAACATTAGCCTTGGGTCACCTGCTGCCCGTCACTGATTTAACAAGTGCAGCATGGCTTTCTGGAGAGCAGCTACCCACAGCCCCTCAGCTCTCCCAGCGAACGTGGGACCCACCCCAGGTCAGGGCCCAGGAGAGATTGCAGGTGGGGCAGCCGGCTGGCCTCAGCTGTTCACTGAGAAGTGCTGCCAGGGCTACCCCCCACCCGCACCAGCTCAGCCGCCCCCCCCAACTCCCCCGGACACTCCCCCCACTACTGTGCTAATCCAGCGACCCCGCAGAGCTCACCTCGCCGCCGCCGGGGAACGCACCACGGCCAGGTGGTGTCCGAGGGCTTGCTGGTTCCCAGCTCGGTCTTGGCCACCACTCGGAAGTGGTACTCGTGGCCGGGGAGCACACCCGGCAGGGTGAAGCGGTTGGTGTGGACGCGGGCCGCCACCTCGCGCCAGGGACCCAGCGCTGAGGAGCGGGTCAGCACCGTGTAGTGCAGCGGGACGCCCGCAGCCTCGTCCGGAGAGGGCTCCCACTCAGCGGTCACCGTCCCGGGCACGTTCTCCTGCAGGCGGATGTGCCCAGGCGCCTGGGGGCTCGCTGCAGGAGGGGGCAGAGGGAGCCACATTTGGGACCACCCAGCAGCACACCCAGAAATGCCCATGGGCTTCTGCTGGGGGCCCTAACCCAGTCGGGGATCCTGGGGGAATGCAGTCTTGCAGGGGTGAGAAGTGGGTGGGGGGAGGCGCTGGAGCCACAGAGAGCCCGGTCAGGGGTCTACATTTATGCCGGAGGGGTGGACAATGTCTCCAAAAAGAGTCAATTTAGTTCATTTTGGTTTGTAAGTAAAATGACACAGGGCATGGGCAGATAGGGACTTTCATATGGCCAGGCCACAGAATCCCCAGATTCATTGATTATCCGTTCTGTATTCTAGAAACTTCTCCAGGTGGGGACTGTGTGAGAGGTGCACCAGGGAAGGTGACCTGTAACTCCCACAAGGAACATAGATGCACTTCCCAAGACTCATTCAGGGGATGCGCTGGTGACTGCTTTTGCTCACTGACTCAAAATGAGGAGTCACGAGGGCCAGTGGCTAAACTGTTCCTAAGTTTCTGAGGCGGCAACAGTGAAGACATGAAGCAGTGACTCTCCCTCGGCATGTCCTGCGCTCCCTCTTCTAGCACACAGGAAGGGCTAGGGTGTGGCTACCTAGCACAGCCAGAGGGTAGGACAGCTGAGGCCTGCGGCCAAGCCCAGGGGAACCTCCAAGTGTGTCCCCGCCAGTGTGGGGGCCCCACCCCTGCTGCCTCACCTGCCACCCTCAGCAGGAAGTTATAGGTGGCCTCCTTGCCCCGCAGGTCCCTCAGCACCACTGTGTAGAGGCCACTATCTGATAGGCTGGCGGCAGGAATCAGGAGCTGGGTGAGGCCGTCCTCAGTGGAGGTCACACTTCTTTTAGGCAAGGGCAAGCCGTCCTTCAGCCAGGTCACCTCAGGCAGGGGGCCAGCCTGGGCAGCAGGAGAAAGGAGATGTGGAAAGGGAAGTTTTATAGCGAGAGGACCTGGAAGTGGACTAAGGTAATGTAGAGAGAAGCACACTCCAGGAGCGGAGCTGTCTGCTGCTAAGAGGGGCTGATGAAGTGTGGGGCTAACAAGTGGGTGTGGCTGGCATAGTGGGATAGTGAGGAAGCTGGGTGGGAGGAGCTGGGCAAAAAGGTCAAGCGCCCTCACAGGCACCTGTAGAGACGTCTGGATTGTATTCTGTAAGCAACGAGCAGCTTTGAAAGATTTTGAGCAGGAAAACATAATCAGAGCTGCGCCTCTTTGGCCAGAGTGGGAACGCAGCAGGACAGACTCCAGGGGAGGGGAGTGTAACTGGCTCTCAGTGGCAGGCCCATGTGGGGGTGATGTGGGCATCCCTGCAGGAGTCCAGGGAGGTCTCAGTGGTCTGGCCCAGAACAGTGGTGACGCTGACTGCACCTGTTGGGGAGGCGGGTCCAGTTGCCCCATGGCCACGTTGCCCATATCCATGAGACCCTTGGTGCTGGCACAGCGTGAAATGGGGATGCTAACGGTGTCCCAGGGGCAGGTTGAGAAGTCAGGAACTTCATTACTCATGAAAGCACAAGGGCAGAGCCTGGGACGCAGTAAATGCTCGGCGTGAGTTACTTCATCACCATCATTGTCACAGCTATGGTCTGATAGTTGAGAACATCTAATTTTGGGTTAGATATAGGTTGGTTTGTTTTTTATATCCAAAGGGGCAGTTTTATTATATAAAAAAGGGAAGGAAAGAAAGAGACACCTGCATAGACACAGGCAGGCAAGAGAGCTGTCTAGAGATAGGTTTGAATCTGGTTCTGCCACTTTTGCGCTTCCCACACAAAGATGATGATTTTAATAATAATAACAACAACAATAATAGGGAACTCATACTGGGTGCTTTCCATATGCCTGGCACGATCTACGTGTTTTCAATTACTAATCCCTTGAATCCTCAGAACAAACCCTTGAGATAAGTGACTGTTATTATTCCCATTTTATAGTGAAGGCAACTGGGGCGCAGAGAGATAAACATGTCTGTCCAAAGTCAAACAGCTGGCGAGTGGTGATGCCAGAATGTGACCACAGGCAGCCCGAGCTTCTAACCACCACTGCTGTACATCCAGAGACAGGTGCTGTTGGTTGAGGGTCTTCCTGAAGTCCAAGGGACCTCTGCAGACTGCAGGCCCCCTGAATTCCCAAGGGGAGGAGGGGGAGAGGAAAGTGGGTGCCCTGCAGTACCAGAAGCTACCACTAGAGGGATGTGTAGTCTCAGAGCAGAATGGCCACCCGGTGGCCAGGTGAGGACTCTGAGTGCAGGGAGGACCCTCCTCCTTCTTTCCTCACCTCTGACCTGACTCCCAGATCACTGACTAGGAGCCAAAAAGAAGCAAGGAAGAAAAGAGAACCACAGGGCTGAGTCTGGCTCCCTTGGCTACCCTGGGTTCCCCTCTCCACACCCCATTAGATATACTTACTACAAAGGGGACAGGCACACGAATGGTGTCCCCAACTCTGACTGTCAGTGAGTCTTTTGTGCTGGAGTCCATGAGGAACTTAGGAGAGACTGGAATACAAACAGCGTGTCACCTCCTTCCACAGCAGGCCCTCAGGCCCAGGTCAGCACCTAGGCAGGGCTGGGGCTGTGGTCGGGATGCAGCCAGAGGGAACAGGAGGGGAAGCTGGGGTAGAGCCCAGGGGGCAAGCTGCAGGAACTGGTGGGGAGAGGTAAGCAGGAGAAGGATGGAAGCTGAGAAAAGGAAGGCACCTGGGAGAGGGCTAGGGTTTAGGGGGGAATAGAGGACAGTGAAAAACTACCCAACTCTTCTGTTTTGAGGTAACCATTGATCTGAGGCAGGAAGTGCCATGCCTGAGACCCCAATGAGTTAGGGGCAGAGCCAGGACAGATTCAGGGATTCTGGGCTCCAGGGGCAGTGCTCTTTGCACGGGACAAGTCTCCCAACTATTGCACTGAGTAGAAGGGTCAGCTTGGGTCAAAGACCCAGCAGATTCCAGAGATGAAAGCCCTAGTGGGTCACAGAAATCTGGGGTGTCTTCTACCCTGAACCTGAGCCGAGCATGAACTAAACCCGAACATGGGCTGAGTAGCACATATGCCTCTTAGGCCATGCTTGGAGCAGGCCTGGGTTTTGGAGTCAGGGCCTGGCTTTGGTCCTGGTTCTGCATGGACCAGGGGTAAGGCCCTGGACAAAGTACTTGGACCTCAGTTTCCTTATCTATAAATTTGGAATAAAAATATCAACCTTGTTAAATTTGTATGAGTTGTGATGAAATATTTCTAAAAGGACCTGCCTCGACCAGTGCCTGGCAATTGGCGGACAATGAACGGAATATCATGACACCAGGAAGGAGCTCCTGGCTCGGGAAGTACACAGACTCTGCGCAGAGCCCTTCAAGGTATGGGCAGGAGACCACTCACCAGTTCGGGGCATGGCTTGCACTAAGGTGTCCAGGACCATGGCGGGGCTGTGACCCCCGTCGTTGACTGCTGTCACCCGCACCAAGTAGCTCTCTTGGGGCCGCAACCCCTTGGCTGTGTAGGTGGTGACAGGCACTGTGCCTGAGTGGCATGGGCTCCACTGGAGACTGTCTGGGCCACAGAGCTCCACCACGTATCCCTGGGCCTCGTCTTTACCCTGGGCATCTGGCCGGGCCCAGCTCAGGGTGACACTGGTGGATGATGTGTCTGTGACTTGGAGATCCCTCACTGGTCCAGGCGGTCCTGCCCAGGCACATGGGAATGTCAAAAGTAGCCTCACCCTCTTCAGAAGGAGGCCACTTCAGGGTGGACAGTCCTTAGCTCTCCTATGGGAGACTGGGGGGTTCTGTCACTTCAGATTCTGTCTCTCACCTTGGCTGAAGCTCTCACCTGAAACCAAACCCTTATTCGATCCTGCACTCAGTCTCAGGTACATACCTCCTCTACCAGGAAGCCTCCAACTCATTCCACTCAATTGCAATCTGCTTGCCCTCTGTCCCTAACCATAATTACTGAAATTTGCTCTTTGGGTTGATGGCTCCATCTGAGGATGAGAATTCTGTATCTTTTTATTGTGAGCTCTAAGCTCCTTGTCAAGACTGCCTTTTAGGCCCTTGGTCCATGTTCCTTATTCTTCACCTGGTAAATGTGCTCGATAATAACTCAGACTCTCCCTACCTACCCACAACAGTTTGGAGCAAACAAAAGTTGTGACATGTGTAAAAGTTCTTTTAAAATTGCACAGCAGGGCCTCCCCTGGTAGCACAGCGGTTGAGTGTTGGGCTGCGAAGCTGCCCGTAGCCTCTGCAGAGCCTGTTCGATCCCCAGCCACTGGCGAGGGTCCCACATGGCGCACAGACCTCTCCTGCTGTGCCCACTGCTCCCCTCAGCAGTGTATTTCAGTCAGTCTGCCTATTCTGTTCCCCACTCTGGCATTGGTGAATTCTCTCACCCTCCCACGCTTCTGACTATACCCAGTGCTTGTATAAATAAATAAATAAATCTTAAAAAAAAAAAAATTGCACAGCAGCCTGGGACTCTGGCCTTCAGACCTGGCTGCACCTTGGAATCACCTGGAAGTTTCATGTACACTAGTGCTATATCCCACCTCAGGAGATTCTGGTTCACTTGTCTGTGGGGGGCAGCCAAGGCATTGGGGTGTTTAAAAGCTCAGACCCCTAAGGGTTTCCAAATGCACAGTGATGTTTCAGAACCACAGGCCTAGGGCTGAGCTTCTCAAGCTTTCATTTGTACACAAATCAACCAGGGACTTTGTTTAAAATGCAGATCCTAACTCAGTAGGTCTGGGGGGAGATCCTGCATCTCTAACAAACATCTAGGTCTCTGCTGGTCTGTGGGCCATGTTAGTAGCAAGGTCCCAGAAAGGTGGTGGCTGGACCTCCTTCCCTCCCTCTCCCCTCCTTTCCACACTGCCCTTTCCAGAAGGAATACTTGGCTGCCCCTTAACAATTAAACTTGTACAATGTTCCACAGCTGAGGGCCCTGTAGAGATACAAAGGCTCTACAGGTATTTCCCACATGGCCCAGCCAGACAGTGCCAACCCTCTGCCCTTCCCGCCATGCCTATTCCTGGCACGCTCATGGTGACTGAGTCATCCAGGGCAGCGGTGGCGAAGCTGCATGCCTTGGAGTGAAGTTTTTGACAGGTGTTTTTTGGAAGAGGTATTCTCTACACAAATTTGGCAAATTTGGATCAAAGCAGCATAGGTTTCTTTGCTGCAAGGTTTTGAAATACCACACATGTCATAAACATCCTTGATCATGGGACTCTTATTAGACGGTGTCTATTGTTCTCGAAATGTCCCTGAGGTTGCCAAGACTACAGGTAGGGAAATGTTCTTCTGGACTGGAAGTTTCTCAAGGGCAGAGACCAGGATTTAGTCACCGAGTTCCTGGCACAAAGCCCACCACCAAGCAGATATCAGTTGACCAGATAATTGATGGTGAGGCTCCCTTATGGCCCCTTGCCTGCCCTGCAGGGATGTCGACACCTCACTGGGGTGAGTGGATGGTGACAGGCCTGGGATACGTGGGCTACTTTGGGGACTGGCCTGCCCAGGAGGCAAGGAGTGAGAGCTCCTGGGAGAAAGTTCTTGTGATTCCCCAATATCTGCCCCCTCCCAGGCCTGCTTGATATCATTTGAAGGGCGTATGCCCGCCCTGGCCCCTAAGCTAGACCTCACTCCAGAGGCCTTTGGACCTTCATCTTTAGTCCTCCTAGCCATTTCCTTCAGGAAGGCCCACTGGCTCTGCCCACTGCCCTCTGCCCACTGGCTTCGAGCTCCCCACACCACATCCTGAGTGCTTGTTCCACTTACTCACGGGGTCTCGAGCAAAGACGGCATCTGATGGGGAGCCAGGTGCTCCTGGACCAGAGAGAGTCACGGCCGTGACCCGGAACTCATACTGGCAGCCCTGCCGTACATCCACCACGGTCCACCGCCTGTCTGTAAGAAGCCCACCCCACTTAGTTCCACCCGTGGGACCAGGCGACGGGGAGACAGGCCCTGCCTGGGGCCCTGACACCCCCCCCCCCCGCCCAGCCAGCCAGCTCTTCTCCAGAGGGACAGAGCTCTGTGTGGGGTGTCAGGGCCCCAGAAGCCCCTGCCAGTTCTGCCATGAACTCGCTGGGTGGCCTGTTTCCCTTGGCCTTGCTGAGTTGTCATCGTTAAATAAAATGGATGCACTAGGTAGTGATGTTGAAAGAATGCTCCTGATTCATCTCCCACTTTCCAGAGAAGAGGAAAATGAAACCCTGAGGGCTCAGCCCATAGCAGCACAGCCCTGGCTAGAAATCCTAGCTCCTGAGAGTTGGGCCCCCACACCAGGCTCAGAGCCCCGAACCCTGTCTTCCCTCTACTAAACTCAGCCCGGGCTTTTCAGAGCTCTCTCTGATCTGAGAAAGCAGTTTCTTGGCGATTACAAGTTGGGGTAGGGGGCACTTCTCCCCATTTAATGGATGAGGAAACTAACTAATATCTAGAGAGAATGGAGTGTCTGAAGGCAAGACCAGGAGGAGAGGGGCCTGTCCTGAAACTCGTATTAGACCAGGGTTCCTCAGCCTCAGCACTTTTGACATTTACAGCCAGATAATTCTTTGCGTGGGGAGGTGGGGCAGAAGGGGTGCTGCCCTGTGTATTGCAGGTGTGGTGTGTGCAGCAGCATCTCTGGCCTCCTCACAAGAGATGCGGCTCCCTCCAGTTATGGCGACAAGCAACAATGTCTCCAGATATCGCCAAGTGTCCTCCAGGGGGCAAAACCTCCTGGGGGGACCCATCTGGCAGGATGAGAATGCAGGATCCTGGGGGGGTTCTGGCTTTGGGGCCCGGACATTGGGGAGCCTTGCTGGGGCTGCTCACCAGGCACTGGCTGCTTGTTCACTGCTGTCCAGGTGTTGCTCCCCCGCTGGCGCTTCTCAATCAGGTACCCTGTGATGTGGGCACTGCCAGGTCCCTGAGGCGCTGTCCACGTCAGGCCGATGCCCTGGCTGGAGGCTGACAGGATAGCTGGGGTGGAAGGGGGTCTGGGGAGAGCTGTGGCAGAGAAGGTGCTGGTCAGTCAGTGGCTGCTGCAATGTGCCAGCTCTGGGACGTCCTGGGGGAAAAGTGGGGTACACTCTGTTCTTTCCTGGGGCATGTCAGGGATGGGGTCTGTGTCTGCCTGCTTTGGGGCCCTGTTCTGGCAGAGCAGGAATGGTGGGAGAGCAGAGAAGCACTTTTTCTCCAGATGCAGAGCCAGGCTGGGCATTCTGGGAGTTGCTACACACTGGAGACAGCCATGGGCACGATGCCAGTCCCACTTGGGGTCCTGAGAGAGACACTGCATGCCCATCCCCTTCCCAAGACCCCATCAGTCCTGCTTCCTCTTCTGGCTGTCCGATCCCAGATGAAGCTGAGACAAGGTGTCTCCATTGCACCCTGGAAGGACCTTAAGACCCCTGGGCACTGTTGCTGTCCCCAGCTTCCGGGCACAGTGAGGAACCCAGGAGTGTTGTAGCCCAACCTCAGCCTATCCTCTCACCCTCAGGAGCCACCAGCACCTCCTCAGACTCCAGGGCCTCCCCGGCTCCCTCGGCGCTCACAGCCCGCACGCGGAAGGTGTACTTCCTGCCCCGCTCCACGCGGGCATCGGTGAAAGTGGTGCTGTCTGCCGGGGGCTCGCCCACCTTCAACCACGTGCTCCTGCCCACCTGCCGCCTCTCCACCATGTAGTGCTCCACTGCCTGGCCCCCGTCATCCTGGGGAGGCCGCCAGCGGAGGCAGATCCCAGCCCCCTGGCAATCCTGCAGCTCCAGGGGACCCTGTGGGGGCTGGGGCCTGTCTGGGGACCCGCCAAGAGAAGGGGAAAGAGAAGGGGCATCAGAGGAGCTGGGGCAGGTGGTGCCAGACATCCCCCCTATCAGCCTGCCATCAGGAATGTGATGTGGACTGCACTAGCCTGACTGGTACCAACCCAACGTCCAGGCCGGCATGGGCATCTGGGCAGCCTCTGCTCACAGGCAGTCCTACCTGGCTGGTACCACTCAAGGCTGGGGTTTCCCACCCAGGGTTCCCCCAGCCAGTGTGATAGCCTTCTCCTCACAGAAGCACAGCAGCCCCTCCTCCCTGCAGGAAGGCCTCCCTTCACTTATCTAGATGCTTCTTCCAAACCAATCTAAGGGAGGGAGGGAGGGGGACTCTTCAACAGCATGCAGATGAAGATGGAGCCCAGGCTGGGAGGCCTGCTGGGGAGGGGGCTGCCAGGGCACCTAGGACTTGCAGGATGAGCTGGGCCTGAGCAGAGCCTCCCTCACTCCTCAGCGTCACGCTGTACTGGCCACCGTCCTTCCTGCTGGCACTTGGGAGGCCCAGCCGAGTGAAGCTGTCCCCCAGGGTCACCTGGGCTCCCCTGCTGCTGCTGCCCACCACCTGGGTCCCATCCTTTCTCCAAACGGCCTGAACGGGGAGATGACTCTGGAAAGGTATCTTCACTGTCACTGGCTGCCCAGCCTTGACCACCAGTGGTTCTTCTAGTTTCTCTGTCACCTCTGGAGCAAGGATGGGGGGACCTGGGGGTATACAGGGCAAGGGAGTCAAAGAAGGTCTGGGGTGGGGAAAGAAGGTTCCAGAGAAGGAAGCTGGGGCTGGGTAAAGTGCACCTTCCCTACTTCATAAGGGCTAAGAGAGGGAGCAACAGCAGGAGGGGCAGAGTGGGGACTTATGGACACTTTGAGTAGGGAGGGGTGGGCTGGTTTTTTAAAATTATCTTCTTGGACTGAGGTGAGATCAGCTGCTGGCAGCAGAGCAGCCCCCCATGCGGGTGTTAAGAAGCAAAGTAGGATTCCTGGTGAGAGACTGCTGAGCAGGAAGGGCAAGGCGGGCCTCACCCTGGCTGGTCAGGGAGGCCTTGCTCTGCTGGCCGCCGGCTGCGGTGTACCTCCGGGCCTGGGGACCCTGCACATGGCCAGTGAGGAGCCTGGGCTCGGGACCATCTTGCTCAAAGACCGCTCCGTCCTGGGCACTGAGCTGGAAACAAGGCCACAGCAGGAGCGGTGATCCCCCCAGCCACCACCCTTTCCCAGCCCCCCACCCCTCCCCATCCAGCTGGTTAAGCCGAGCCCTTCTCTAGCTCAACTGCAGCCACCTCACAGCCACCTCACAGCCGCAGCATCTGGAACATGACCCTCGGGCGTTGGCAGCGGGTGCTCATCTCCATATTTAGCAGCTCATTTAATTGTCATCACCTGAAGCAGGCCCTGAGGAGCCCCATGGCACAGATGAGGGAGCCCAGACTACATAAGGGGTACGCGGCACAGCTGGCGCCTGAAACTGCTGATGCCCAGGCCTGTGTCCCAAACCAGGGGACATCCTTCCTCTGAACCAATGGCTCGGATGAGGCAGAGGTCCCTCCTGCTTGGGCTGAGATGGCACCGCCGTGAGGGTGAAGGGCGGGGAGAAAGCAACAGGTGCTGAGACAGGAAAGTTCCCCTGGGATGGTGGAAGGAGGGCGAGGGGCGTGTCGAGGGGGGAGAGGGCAGGGTACTGATCCATTTTAAAGCCCAGTTTTATTTTAAATACGTCGTGTTGGCTGTTTAAACTGTTCCCAGGGTGGGCGCATTGGTAAAATGAAGACTCTTTCTTGTAAAGACTCCCCTCTACTCTGTTTTACCCCCATCCCTCTCTACCCGCCGAGATGCGGGGTAGCGGCATACCTTGACTCCATCCTTAAGCCAGGCCCAAGGCCCCAGGCCACGGGTGAGGGTGCAGGAGAGCACGGTGGGCTCCCCCTGCTGTACATCCGTGTCTGCTAGGCCTGGAGAGAAGATACCTGTGAGGCCTGGAAGATACAGAGGGGACTGAGGTCTTGTCACCTAGAGATTCCCCCCAGGCCACACCCCCAGGCCAAGGCCTGCACTGCACCCAGGAGGACACCACACTCAGCCAGTGCCAAAGCCACACCTCACATTCTTCTCAGCAGGGCTGTGGGTCCCCAGGAGATGCAGGGTCCAGGTGGATGGAGGGGGAAAAGGGAAGTCTGGGTAACCCATAGACAGTCCACAGCCATTCCAAGACCAATGTTTTGGAGTTTCCTGAACTGGGAAGACGTCCCTAAAAATGGGGGGCCCTGCAGGGACAAACTCCTGGACTGGAGGCAGAATTGGGACCAAATCATTCAGGCATCCCAGTTTCCAGGGAGCCAGCCTGGCTGAGAAATACCTACCTGGGGCCTCCTTGGAGAATCGGCGAGTGCCAGGCTGGTATCTGGATCCGGAACTCTGGGTGGCCTTCCTCCCCTCGCTGTAGACGCCCAACCTGTCCTCTTTGCTCCTTCTTCTGCAGCCTAGATCACTCAGGGGCACCTGGCTCGGGCCTTCACATGGAGCCTCCTCCAGGGGCCCTCTGTTCCCTCCTGCAGGTGGCCGCCCCACACCTCTGGCTTCAACTGCCCCCCCTCTGCTTGCTGCTCCAGCCTCGGCGCCTGGTGGTGTTTGACACCTGTTCCTGGGTGGGCCAGGCCTCATGTCTGACCTCTCAGACCCCGGTCTCCATCCATCATTCTCCTTTAGGGTCCCCAGACATTGGGTCTTATCTATCCTAGCCCCCAGCAACCCCTTTCTTCCTCCTCGTCCTTTGCCTAACTGAGAGCCCAGGCTCTGAGTGCCCCCTGATCTGTCTCCAAGGTCTTTTCTTCCAAAGGGACCATCTAGGCCTTCCCAGGCTCCCTGAGGTCCTGAATCCCCAGGTTTTGGGGTGAGACACTTCCCCCTGTGGGAAATCTCCTTATCCAGGACACCTGAGTCCCCTGGGTCACTAAACCTGCCCCTTCCAGGACCTGAATCTTCGCTCCCCAGGACCCAGGGGTCTTGACACCCACCTGTCTCTTGGCCTGAGCACCTTCCTGGCTCCCTTGAGCCCCCCGACCCCATGTGGGTCCCCCCAAAAGTGCCTTCTTTCTCCTGTGGAGAATAGGACGCCCTGGAGCTTGTGGGCTGGTGCCCACCACCTACACCACCTTGGTCTAACCCCTGGTTTTCCAAGTCTGGCGCCCAAGCACGGATTACCCCTGGCCCATTTGCAGACCCTAAGGGCCACGTGCCCCTCTCCCCGAGCATGTCACTGCTGTCCAGAGCCTGACCTGACCCTGCTGCATGCCCCCCTTCTGCTTCTAGCCTGCTGCTTCCCAGCAGTGAGTCCCCCCCTTTCTGAGGTGCCAACCCCCCTGGGCCCTGAGCACTGCTGCTCTCTGTTGTCCTTGACCCCGCTTTCCAGGAGTTCTTCTCATGTCCAGATGGCAGGGCTGTCCCCAGCCAGGTCTCTTCCTCCACAGCCCCCCTGCCCTGAAGAAGCCCATTAGGCTGCACACCCCCTGCTTGGTCTGCATACCACCCCTCCCTACTGGGAGAGTCTCTGTCCCCAGGAGCCTGGGGAACCCCAGCGCCATCTTGCCACTCTCTGTCACCTGGTTTTCCCTGAGAGCCAATGGCCCCCGACTCCTCAGGGATTCCTGAGGGTCCAGAGCCCCCAAAACCCTGCCCATCTGAAAGGCAATGTCCTCCCTGAGTCCCCAGCCAGCTCAAGGCCCTGGGGCTGTCCCTGGGTGCTGGGCCGTCTACAGTGGCCAGCGTTGCAGCCTTGCCAGGGCCCACCCCAGGACCTGACCCCTCCCCAAGCCCTGCTCCTCTGCTCCTCCCTGAACCATCCTTGGTGCCTGTGCCACCATGAGGCTCTGCTGACGTGGCCCTGCATCCTGATCTTTGCTCCGCAGCTTCGTGGCCGACGGGTGGCCCCTCACACCTCACTCCAGCCAGTGAGCCTGCTGGTCCCGATGACCCTGAACTGTCCCTAAGGGCCATCTCACCCTCTGACCCTGCTTCCACAGATCCTCCTGAGCCTTCCCTATAGCCTATCTCACTCCCTGATTCCACCCCTCTTGTACTCCCCAAAACACCCCCATGGCCTGCCTTACTCCCTAACAGATTTCTCCCAGGACCCTCTAAACCAACCCGATGTCCTGCCTCACCCCCTGACCCGATTCTCCCAGGATCCCCCAAGCCAATCCCATGACCTGCTTCACCCCCTGACCCAATTCTCCCAGGATCCCTCAAGCTACCCTGATGACCTGCCTCACCCCCTGATCCGAATCTTCCAGGATCCCCCAAGCCACTCTGATGACATGCCTCACTGCCTGAACCCATTCCCTCAGTACTCCCTAAACCACCCCAATGATCTGCCTTACCCCCAGATCTGATTGTCCCAGGACCCCCTAAACCACCACAATAATCTGTCTCACCCCCTGAACCTGTTTCCAAATCTTTCCTATGACCCACTTCATCTGCTGACCCCTTTCTCCCGGAACCCTCAATACCATCTCTAAAGCCTGCCTCACCCCCTAGCCCCAGACCTCCAGACCCAAGACCCCTTAACCCTCCTCTGTAAGCTGTTTTGTCTCCAGTTTGCCAAGACCCTGGAATTGTTGATCCAGCCTCATCACCCAGCACACTGCCAGACCCAGGAGTCCACTGGCTCTCAGAACCAGACCCAGGGTGAGGAGCTGGTGCCTCCGGGTGCCTAGCATCACCCCCAGAGCCAGCTGCAGTTTCAGAGGTTCTGGCACCAAGGCCGCTAGTCCCTTCCCCCTCTCTCTCCTTACCCCTTGCTGTCAGAGAACCTGGCTCCTCAGCCTCTGGACCCCCAGAGCCATCTTCTGGGCCTCCTTCTCCCAAGGCGTCCAGAGTCCCTGTGGCTCTGGAGCCCCCACAAGCTCCAGTCTGACCCCAAGGCCTTATTTCTACAGGGACCCCTGGTTCTGTTCCCACATGTCCATCCCCAGCAGCTCCCACTGTTACAGAGGCCCTGGATCCCCCTCTGCCCCCACCTCCCGCTGCCCTAGGAGCCCTGAGGCCACCACCAGAAGAGCACCATCCCCCAGGGCCGGCATCGCTGTAGGCTCTGGAGGCACCCTTGACCCCTAGGAGCATCTTGGCTTTATCCAGGGGCCCTCCCTCAGGGCCACCTGAGCCATTCTCAAGACTAGCAAATCTCCCGGACCCCCTTCTTGGAGGACCATGACCATCTTTGTTCCCAGACCACATTACCCCAGGCACCCCCAAGCCCTGCCTGTGACCACCCCCTCCTGCAGGTGCCTCAGAAGCGATGCTACCACCAGTGCCTCGGCTAGATCCCATTTTCCTTGCCAGCCCAGCTCCATTTTCAGGACCTGTTTCACTAGAATACCCTACGCCCTGGCCTTGCCTAGATTCCATGCCTCCCAGGCCGCCTCTGCCAGTCTCAGAGACCAGCTCACCCCTGGGCCCTTTGGCTCTGGAGCTCCATGACCCAGCCCAGAAATTAGGTTCAGATTCCTTTTCCCCTGGGCCTCTTAATCCATCTGTGTCTCCTCGTGTCCCCTGAGGCCCCTGAGCACCCAGGCCAGGAGATGCAATTAGCCTCTGGCTTCTGACATCCACCCTCTGATCAGACCCCATCAGCCCAGGCACCAGGGTGCTGGCCACACCCCCTTTCCCTCCACCAGACCCTAGCACTCTAGGCCCGTGATGGGCCCCAATTTTGCTGAGCCTGGACCCTGTGTTATCCCCAGGACCTGTGCTCTCAGCCTCCACTCTGCCAGCGCCACCTGCTCCCCTCCGACATATTGTCCCGCCTTGGGGATACTGGAGGCTTCCGGACCCACCCCCTGCCTGACCAAAGGCCTCTGCTGTGTCCTGGCCCTCCCTTCCTCTGAGTTCCTGTGTGTCCCCCTCAGGACCTCCTGGGCCTCCAGGGCTAGTTTCATAGCCCCTTTCTCCAATTTCAGACTCCCCTAGGCCTTGAGTACCTGCCTCCTGCAGCAAACCTTCATCTTGGGCCTTGGGATACCCTTGCTCCAGGAGGAATTTTCTGCCACCAGACGCCTGAAAGTCCTGGCCCACAGCCTCCTGGTCTAGAGATTCCCCTGGGTCCCAGTAGCTCCCTGTCTCCCCACTGTCAGCATCACCGCCTCCCGCGGAGCCCCAGCAGCCAGGGCCCACAACGGTCTTGCAGTTAGGGCCTCTTCCTCCAGGGGACTCTGGGGCACCAGGACCTCCTGCACCCTCACTATCTCTGGCTTCCCCAGGGCCCATACAGCGACCCCACACTGCCCCTGCTGCTCCTCTAGCCCTTTCTCTGCTTAGATCATCACCCCTCTTTAGCTCTCTCAGGTTCTCCTCCTGCAAACTCTTCAACATCACTTCCCCTTCTGACCAAGAAATCACAGTACTAGACTGGGGTCCCTGCAGGGCCCTTTTTTTAATCCCAGGTGCCAAGTGAACACCCCAGAGAGGTCCTTGGTCTTGTCTGGCTGGCTGACTTCCACTGTCCTCTCTGTGCCCCTTTTCTTTGTTGTTGCTCCCCAGTCCTGCAATCTGAGGGGGCCCAGACCCAGCCTCCCAGCCTCCTACTATGCCCCCGCATCTGTTCCTGTCTCTGTCCCTGCCGTGATCTTGTTGCTGCTGACCTTCCATGAGACCCAGCCCTGGTTCTGGGCCCTCTTCCTGTCCTTGGGCCCTCTCTGGAAAGGAACCTCCCTCTCTGTGGGGCTCATTTTCCCCAGAAAGAGTGATTCTGTCTCCCTCTACTTCCAGAAAGCTCTTTCCCACCTGCCCAGGCCCCCAGGCTGAGTCAGCTATCCCCTCACTCCTCATCAAGGAGCAGCCATGCTCACCAAGGCCACTTTTGTCTAGGCTGGCTGTGAACTGTGGTCCAGAAGCAGGCCCCACCCCTTTAAGGGAACCCCCACTGGAGGCCCCCGAGCCCTGCTGTCTGGGTTTCCCTCTCTTGCCACTGATATGCCTGGAACCTTCTACTTCTGAGGCCTGGGCTCCTTGTGCCAGCAGCTGGTGGTCAGCCTTTGCGGTCAGAAGGCCTTTATCCTTCCCAGCTTGGGTGAGAGGTCAACACCCCATAGAGAGAAAGAGGAAAGATCCACGAAGTCAGGTCAGGTCAGGTCAGGGTGTCTGTCTGTCCCCAGCTGCTCTGTTTGGCCCACAGCTTCCCCGGTATAGGGAGGGGGATAGGAGGAAGCCAGAATGTGCCACCTCGTTCTGGATAAGTCCCATCATCACCTCCTCCAGGCCTATACTCAAGGGCCACCCCATCCTGCCACATAGCCCCTGAGGATTTGGGGAGAAATTGTGTAAGCCACAATCACTTCCTTATCAAACTAGAATGAAGAGTTGCATTGGTTTTTAAAGCTCCCCTCGCCCTCTGTCCAAATTAGTTTCCTGGGGTCACCTTCAACCCAAATCCCTATGGGGTTTAAAGATGTTCCTTGGTCTGGCTTGGGGCTACCCCATCCATGAACCTGGGCCCCAGGGCCATCTGGGATAGAGAGAAGTTCCAGAAGCTCATGAAGATGCAGCTCCAGAGGCCAGGGCTGGTGAGAAGAGCCTGCACTGAGTGGGTCAAGGCCAGGTCTGAGGAGCCCTCCCCATTCTCGAGAGTACGGAAATCACCAAAGGGAGCCCCATTGCTCTGACTTCCTCAGGCCCTCCCTAGCTCTGAGAACTTGCTTTGGTGGAGCCAGGGGGAGGGGGAGGAGGGAAGCACTCACCTTCAACCACCAGCCAGGCGCTGGAGGTGTGGAGCCCAGTGCCCAGCGAGTAGAGGCCCATGTCTGAGAGGTCAGCTCTCCTCACAACCAGCCGGTGGGTCAGACCATCGGGGGCCACGAACACTTCATATTTGGGGCTGGGCAGGAGCGGCCGGTGCTGGAAATGCCAGGCAGCATTGGGGCAGGGGCTGGACAGGGTGCACTCGAAGACAGCATCGCCCTGCTCCTCACAGCGGGCTGTGGCCAGCGGGACCACCACTCTGGAGGGGATGGCTGCCAGGAAGCAGGGAGGGGACATCAGTGTGACAGTCTGACCAAGTGGGGACAGAAATCCCAGGTTCACACCAGCTCAGCCACAAACTCCTCGTGTTCCCGTGGAGGGGTCACCTCCGTGCCCCAGGCACTTCCAACCCCCACCAGCAGGCCAGGCCTCTGCACACCTCCCCACTTCCTACATCCTCAACTTGATTCTCCCAAATGATTGTTCTTTCTGAGCTTCCCACCCACAACTCCCCCCACCACCCCAGGCCTCCTCTCTCCCTCCCAGAGCCCCTCCGAGCTGGCAAGCGCTGGGGTGATGTGGACAAGCCCTCGTGGGTAGGGGATAAGGAGGAAGGGACAGCCCCTGGGCAGCAGTAGGTGGCGGGCACAGGAGTGCCTGATCGGTGGAGATGCTGGGGTGGGGGCTGCATCAAAAAGGAACAAGGTCCTGGCTGGAGGCTGTGAAATTAGTTTGGATTTGATCTGAAAATGGTCGGTTGCTGCAGAGACCTGTGAGCAGGTTTGGCAGGTGCGTTCTTTGTGACTGACACTCAGCAGAGCTGAGCTCAACTAAGAGATCCCAGGCCTTGGATCCAAGCCTTTGGGAAAAGAGACCAGCTGGGCATGCATTCCTCTCCCCAGCTGTATTTGCCACGGGGGCCATGTCACCCTACGCGTGGCACTCACATGGCCCCGCACTCATCTCCCCCACTCAAACTTCTGCAGGGAAGCCCACGCACCAGCAGCCTCTAGTTCTGTGGAGAAGACCTCAGCCCCCTCCACCTTGACCTGGTAAAGGCCGGTATCCTCGGGACGCAGGTCCCGGATCTGGAAGTGGTAGCGCTTCCCCAGTCGCCGCAGACAGTGCTTGGTCAGGTTGTCTGAGCCATAGGGGATCATCTCACCATCCTGAGGCCAGAAAAAGAAGAGGGGTCCAGGGCCCCAGCAGGACCCCAGCACCTCCTGGCCCACCCCTTTTTCCCCACTGGCCCAGGCACCAGGCCATATGTTCCTGGAGCCTTGAAGGGAGGGGTAGGTGGGTGCTGCCGTGGGGGAGGGACCCAGGCCCGGAGGACAGGGGAACTAGGGTGAGAAGTGGAGGCGAATGAATGCTCTAGGACTGCCCTTGACTCTTAGAGGGTAAGTCATGGGCAAGGGTTATGCAGGCGGCACCTGGGGTGGCCATACATTGAAGATCAGAGTAGAACTACCCAGCGGCCCTCCAAGTTAGCAGGGGGCAGGGAGGCCACACCAATGGCCTGGAGGCCCCAGCACATTCATTCAGAGGAACAAGGGTCCTCTCTGATCTTTGTGGAGGTGCAAAGCCCAGTAATGGAGACACAGGCCACTTGCACTAAGCTGTCAATAGATTTTCTGCTGGCCAAATAGTCACCGTAGCCAGGTACTGCTTCAGGTACTGGGGATAAAAGCGATTCCTGCCCTCAGGGAGCTCAAATTCTATGGGAGCGATGACAAATGATCAACATCATAAGTACATAATATAATGTGTGTTAGAAAGAGCTAGAATTGGGGCAAAAGGAAAGGAAAAGAGGGTCAGGGTTCCCCTGTGTGGGGAACACAACATCTCCACAGGGTGTTTGGTGGAGGTCTCAAGGGGAGTTGAAGGAGGGGAGAGAGATGAGCCATCCTTGTGGATAGCAAGGCAACAGAGGGGACAGGTAGAGCTAGGCTGGGGCTGTGGGGCAGCAGGCAGGAACAGAGGTGAAGGGAGAGGCCACTCAGGTACCATCTTGCTGATCATTTCCATAATAGCCTCATTTCCCAGATAAGGAAACTGAGTTACCATGGAGCTAAGCCTCTTGCCTGAGGTCACACAGCCATTAAGTGGTGGACCCAGGATGAGTTTGGCCACAGAACTGGAGTCAACCTTGTCTGTTCCCCCTACACTTACCCCGGCTCCCACGCTTACTGGAACCCAGGGATTTGTCATATCTCTGCAGAGAGAGCTCAGAGGGGTTGGGGCACACCTTCTCAGAACCCTCTTTGTACCCCTAAGCCCTGGCTGGAGAGCCAGTTTGCTCAATAAGAGGTAGAGATCTCTGTAGACTGTCTTCAGAAGGGTTGACCTGACTCCATCCAGGAATTACAGGGGATGTCAGGGTTGTTCCCACAGGGATCCATGGGCCCCACAGCTCCTCCCCAGACCAGAGGCATCTCCTCCAGGTCCTCCCACAACAGCCCCACCAGCCTCACCTTATACAGGTAAACCTTGCTCTCAGGATCCTTGAGGTCCAGCTCCAGGTCAAATGTTGCAACGCCCTCCTTGGTGACCTTGATGTGTCTCAAGTTGGAGACAGCGTTGACATACTGGGGAAGAGAAACCCAGCAGGGGAGCTTGCCATGGCTCTGCAGAGCCCTCTGACCTCCCAGACCCCAGCCCCTGACATCCCAGTTGAGCCCTTTACAAATGAGTGACTTAAGGCCTGTGAGGAAGGAATGTCAACAAGAGTCAGGAAGACAAGCAAGGGGGACCCCAGGTATCCAGGTACCCCAAGAATCTGCAATGTTTTTCTGCTGGTCACTGCGCCACCCAACAGAGAGCAGAGCACCCCTGTGCGCACCCGTGCTGCCAGAACAGAGCAGGTGAGAAATCTCAGAGGAGAAAACCTGATCCCCAGGCAGGTCTGATGAGCCAACTCACAGTGGGGAAAACTACTTGCAGTATATTCAAAACCAGCCGCTTTGTGTTTCCAGAAAAAAAGTCAAATATAAGGTTAGGCACAGGAACAGAACTTCCTGCACAGTTTACAAGACCCTGGGGTAAGAATGCTCATGGGAACAGACAGACCTTTCCCCAGGGCCTTTTGAAACAAGGCAGGCACCCAAGGGCTGGTGACGATGATGACATGGATAAGGATAGAGGCGACAGTGGTGATGACGATGATGGTGGTGACGCAGTTGACTTGAGTCCTTATTAATGTCAGACACTAGGCTGGGAGCTTTAAGAACATTCCTTCATTCATTCTCTCAATAATCCTGTGAGGTTAGCACCACCCGACTCATTTCACAAATAAGGAAATCAAGAGGCTCCAACTTTGCCAAAGTCCTAGAATTTAGTGTGTGTAAGAACAGGTTCAGAGCCAGGACACCACTCGGAAACTGGGTCCTGAGATGGATACTGACTGGGGACTAGAGGCGGTGGGCCTGTGGCCGCGCTACCCCAGGGCCCATGCCACCCCCAGCGTCTGCGCCATCCCGGGGTCTGCCTCCACCAACTGCAGGTGCCAGGCTGTGGGGAGTGAGGGTACCTGGGCTGCCTCATCCTCCTGCACCTGGTGCATCTCCCGCAGCCGGCGCAGCATGCCCCGATAGTCCACGATGCCGTACCGCAGGCAGATCTGCTCGTAGTCCTTCCGGTCCGCGGCCATCAGCAGTTGCCAAATCTGCTCAGAGTCCATCTTTTTCTCTGGGGCAGGAGGTGGGACCCTGGGGAGCAGGACCAGTAAGTCAGAGGCCTGGGGGAACCCCAGAAGCTGGCTGTGGTACCCCAAGAGGTTCTGAGGAGCTGCCCCTTTGCAGTGAAGGAAAGGGCAGGGTCTGGGATGTGGCACTGACCACTGTGGGGACAGGAAGGACCCAGGGTTGGGCACCTCCAGCTTGCCACATGGCTCCAGCTTTCAAGAGGGAGACTCAAGCCCTAACAACTTGCTCTGTGGACTTCGGGGCAAATCACCTTTAGTTAGGAGGGGGAAGAAGGAAGAGGATTGTTTGGTTGCTTAACATTATTTGAAGGCAGTGCCTTCTCCTCGCTAGATGTGACATTACCCAATTCACAAATCATTCAATAAAGCCTAGGAGACTTTTTAACTTACAAGATTGATTAAAAAAAGTCTTGATCACTGTTCTAGCAGGGCACCACATTTTATAAACACATAGATCAGGACTCAGAGAAGAGAGATGATTAGTTCAAGATATGGAGCTTGGTCCACACCCCAGCCCAGCGCTCTTCCCCTCTCACACTCCCACCTGCAGTCTGGCGTCCCGCATGTGCTGAGGGGGACGGAAGGGCCGAGACCAGCTCTCGTGGAAGTAGCAGGGGAGAGGTGCATGGGGGCCTCCACTCTCCTCCCCCAACCCCACCACAAACAGGCCCAGACCCACCTCTTTTTCAGCATCTTCCGAAAGTCTATCAGCGACATCCTGAGATCTAGAAAAGAAGCAGGACTGAAGCCCCAGTGCCAGTGTGGGGGTCTCAGGGGCTAATGCAGGCCTTTTCTATGGGAAGGGAAGCATTGCGGTGGGAAGAGGCCCCGAGCTCTGTGGCTAACAGTGGACTTTCCACTGTGATGCATCATGAGGTATTCTTGGGGGATTGGCTTGATGGAGAGGGCCAGGCAAGGAGTAGCTCATCCACCAAAGACCACTTACCCTCCTGGGGTTCCTTGTGCCTCTTCCGATTCTTCCGAAAGCCAACTGCACCATCGGGGAGGAGAGGAAGGTGTTAATGTGGACAGGCAGGGAGAGAGGCCAGACACAGTTATGGTGCCCTGAGAAAAGGGCTGAATGGTGGGCCCTGACCTCCCCTCTTCTCTTAGGTACAGTGACAGCCCCACTAAAGGGCTGAGCAGGGTGGGGGGTGGATCTCTCCACCCAAAGCTTTGATGCCCTGGAATCTTAGCATGATGGAGGTTCCATCTCACACAGGGGAGCCCCTGCACGTGTCCATGGGACACAGCGTAATTGAAGGAGGGAAGCAGCATAATTGAGGGAGAAGGCAACCGCCACAGCCAGAACCACTTCTGCAGGGACACAGCTGCTCCTTTCACTCCATTTCAGGGTCCAGACCCCACAGTGCCAAATGTGTCAGCACTGCTATTTGATCCCGCAGCCATTCCACAGCTTCTTCTTCATCACCTACTTCCACGAGCGAAGCTGAAAAGGCCACACCTGCCTTCCCAGCTTCCTGCAACTGGGAAGCCATGGACATGGCTCTGACCACTGAGGTGTAAGCAGGAGTCTCTGGGGAATTTCTGAGAAAGGGGGGGCTTTATAGAGAAAAGAACCAGAGGGAGCTGAAACCTTCTTTTGTCCCTCCTGCCTGTCTTGAATGTGGATGAAGTTTGGATCTGCGGGCAGCCCTCTGACGACCGTGAGGGGAAGGGTGCCAGAGCCTGAGATGGGAAGACTGGCTTCTAGTGACAGACGGAGCCCTGGGCGCCATCTTTTCTTGGGACCCAGGAAGCATCTTTATTTCTTGGGCTACTCATAGTGGGGCTTTCTGTTACTTGTAGGCAAAACAACCAGTTGAGAGAGTAACTGCTTTCCCAAGTCACATCTACCTTCCAGTTATTCATGTTCATCAATTAAAAATTTTTGAAACACTGTGCAAAGAACTAAGCAAACAGGGGGCCTCCCTGGTGGCGCAAGGAGTTAAGATGCAACCTATGAAGCTATCCACAGTCACTGCAGCACGAGTTCGATCCCCGGCCAGTGAGGTGACCCACATGGCGCAGCAGACCTGTCCTAGCTCGCCTGCTTCTCAGCAGTGTATTTCAGTCGATCTGTCTGTTCTGTTCCCCACTCTGTCTCTGGTGAATCCTTTCACTGCCCCTCACCACAGCTCTGGCCTGTACCCCAGTTCTTATATGTATAAATAAACTAACCTTAAAAAAAAAGAAGAAGAAGCAAACAAATCCCAAGAAAGGATCTGACCTATTACCCGTTTGCCCCTCTGCTGTAGGCCTGTGAAAGCATCCTCTGCCCGGTGGAGAAACTGAGACCCAGGGAAGGAAATGAAGCCCAGTGATGAGCTAACAGAAGATCCAGGACTAGAAACTGCTCCACTGGCCAAGAACTACCATTCAGAGTGTCTGCAGCAGGTGCCTGCCCCGTACGCTCCTTCCTAATTCTTAGGAATTAGTGTGTAAATTGAGGGCTTGGGCCCATCCCCTCATCCCTCACCCTCTGCCCAGGTACATGGCCTCTGATCCCTCTGAGGAGAAAGCCAGGGCTGAGACCCTGAGACTGATGACACAGGGTTGGAGGGACAGCGGGTGAGCCCACCTTCGATAACAGTGAGCCTGGCGGAGCACACGGCCTCTCCGTACATGTTGGTGGCCACGCAGCGGTACAGGTCCGTGTCCTCGCCGGTCAGCTTGTTGATCTGCAGAGAGGCCAAGGGCAGGACCATTTATGGGGCTACTTGTTAGGGGTGTAAAGACCATCCTTGTCTTCACAAACCTCACAGTCCTCATCAGGACAGACAGACATATATTCGGACATGGGGGGATGTGCCAACTCTGCCATCCGGGCAACATGATGTAGCAGAAAGAGCTTGTTTTGGGACATCTGAAGGCTCAAGGGCTGAATACCATTGCTGATTTGCATTATGGATTGTGCAACCTGGAGCAAGTTATCTAACCTCTCTGCACCTTAGTTTCTTTATTTATGAGGATAATGACACCTCAAAAAGTAGTCAGCGGTCAGGAGTAAGTTACCTAATCTATATCAGAGGGTCAGCTCAGGGCCGGTGTTCTGTGATCGTGGCTGTGACCGTCCCTGACACTGACTGACATGGGCTGAGAGCTCAGTGCATCAGGTACTGGCTAGACTTTTTGCAGAAACATTTCATACCATCATAACTCCATGAAGTGGGTGTTATCACTCCATTGTACAGATGGGGAAACAGAGGTACAGAAAAGTAAGTAGCTTTCCAGGGCCAAGGTGGTGGGCTGGGAACTAAAACCAGGCAATCGGACTCCAGATCCAGATTTCTTAGGCTCCGGTCCCCATGGCCTCCCAGGTTATCAGCAGAGCTACCTGGGAACCCCTAGGTGCACACCTGGCAACCTCAAGCCCCACCAGTCTCTCACTCCTCTGGGGACCCAGCCACCCTGAGCCCTTCGCGAAACAAGGAAGAGGGCAGAGGGCTGGCTTGGGGGGCTGCAGTCCCTACCTGCAGCGTGTGCTGCTCCTGGCCGCTGGGGCTGGAGATCTGGTACTTGCTGGAGTTGCTGAGGGCTCCTCTGCTGCAGAGCCAGTGCACCTGGGGTCTGGGCTCCCCACACACCACAGCTCGAAAGATGGCATTTTTGCCTGTGACAGCAAGAGGCAGGGAGTTTGACAATTTGGGGGCAGGTAACAGCGTACTCTGTGGAGATTTTAATTTGGGTGCTTCACTGCTAGGGATTTCAACTGCCCATTCCAAGAAGGGTGCCAGGACTTGGTGCCCTTGACCAAGGGCTCCAAAAGTGCCAAGGGGACATCAGGTATCCAGAGACAAGCCAATCCCTGGGTCCCTGCCCCCTGGAAGGATGCTGCTGGACTGGCTCTGGTGAAAGGGGGCAGGCAGGACTTGGGGTGGGACGGGGTGTCTCTTAGCGGGTGGGTAGAATAAGGAGTCTGAAGGACTCCCCCCTCAAATGAGGAGGGGTGACATTGACTTTCACTCTAGAGGGAATGATGCCTTGGAAAGGAATCATTTTTGGGTCCAGGGCAGCTGGTCCTCAGACACATGGTTTTAGTCTCAGAAAATCCCCCCATGCGCCATGCTTGGACAGGATGCTGCTCACCCTCAAGGACCCCCTCAGCCTCCCACCAGGAGTGTTTCCCTAGAGAGCAGTATGAATACCCAAGGGCCTCCTCCAAATTTCTCATGATCTGGTTGACTGGGAGTTGGAGTAAGGTTTGGAAAAACAGAATGTTGTTACTTTTCTTACACCAGGATGTTGCAAAGTGAAATTTATTGCAGGAACCAGTGTTGGGGAAAGAACCCCAATACATGCTTGTCCCCCCCAATAAGCCTTGTTCCCACCAGTTTCTTGGGTACTTTTCTCATGTGGCCTTCTAGAATGGGCTTCCTGAGTCCCTGGGGTGCACCTGTCTGGAGGCAAGTGTTGGGGGGAACCCAAATTAATTCCCATGTTTCAGGCCTCTCTGCAGCAACTATTTAAAAAAGGGGAGGAGAGAAGGCCTGATGAATCTTACGTGTCCCCAATTTAGCATTTCCTTATCCTGGTTCCCCAAATATTTCCTGCAGCAGCACTCCATGGTATGTCTTCACTCCCTTTACCCAGTCTGCTCCTCAGGCCCCTGCCCTCCTGGGGAGCCAGGCAGGTGTCACCAAGTGTAGGGAGATGTGGAGGTGGGGCAGCAGGAAGCTCATCCCCTCTCGGCAGTCCCACCAGGCCTCACCCTCCTGCAGCGCCAAGGTGACAGGCTTCTGCTCAAAATCAGGTGCACTGCATCCCTCGGGGACCTCGTCCACCAGCTGCCGGGTGCTCACCCCAGGGGTGGAGGACTTCTTGAGGGGCTTCCCTGGAGAAAGTAGGAGAAAGGGAGATGGGTCCTCCCCACTCTCCCTGGTGGGTGGCCCTTCAACAGGATCAAGGCTCCACTCACTCACTCAAGAAGCAAGAGCCCCTTTCTGACTCCCCACGGGGGGTGGGGGGGGAGGTGGGAATGGGGGGCGCGTGTTGGGCTGGCAGCGGGTTGGTCAAAGCCCCTGCCTTTGAGCAGTGCTGGGCTGCATCCTTCAGCAGTGTGAATGGAGCCCCTGGGAAGTAGGGGGAGAGGGGTGCTGGGAAGATCTTAGGAGTGTCACTGGGGAAAAGCTGGAGAAAGGCCAGTAGGAAATAAATGTTCTTTCTGGAAAGCAGGGTCCATGTTGGGGAGGGAGCTCTGCACCTTTATTTAGGAAAACAAATCAAAACCCACAGCTGAAACTAAAAAATCAGAGACAGTTGAGCATGCAAAGATCTCTGAGCCTCCCCTCCTCGCGGGGGAGGGGAGCTGACCCCTTCTCTCACCTGCCATCGTCCAGGTCCTCTTTGGCTACTCTGAAGGTGGGCACTGGAGGCCTAAGAATAGAAGATAGAGTTACTGATGAGAGGTGCAGCTGGTCTACCCACCCCCACTTCGCAGAGCACCGGCCAGCCTGGGGTGGGGCTGGTAGAGCTGCTGCCCCAAGGGCTTGGATACCCCCAACTAAGGACCCTGACGGACTTCCTGCAGTCCCCACCACAGCAAAACCGACTTGCTAGGACCAGGGAGGCATAAGATGTTGCCCAGGTCAAGGAAATCACTGGGCAGACCCTGCAAACTGTGCTGGTGGGAACCCAGGGCCCATTCCTGCAAAGATGGTGAGACTCAGCCATCCCAGATCTCAGGAACTTGCACCCCAACATCCTGCAGCTGTTTTACAGCGGGGCAGGGGGGGGCCTTGACTCAGGAATGTGGGTTTTCCAGGGACAACTTCTGGGATCCCTGGCTCCTCCCCCAACCCTGAGATTTTCTAGCAGGGCCCAGCAGCCTCCTGCTTCTCATCCCAATGAATCTGGCATCTGGAATCCTTCAGGGCGCCAGGGCTGCAGGGAGAATTCCAGGCTCGGCTGCTCTTAAGCTCTTCTCAGCCAGGCCATGGAGCCCCATAAATCTACCTGCCCCTATAAATCCCTCTGAAGTCAGTGAATTATAGCATCAGTGAACAAGAGTGCTTTCAGCCTCCCCAGTCACCATCACCCCTGACTCCCCCTGATTTCCTCTCAGAGGCATCCATCTTTGTAATGATGATGGGGGGGAAGGAGGGGCTCTCCAGGAGAAGGAGGGAGCTTGACTCTGGGATGGGATGAGAACCTTGATGAGCATCATGAATTTGGAGAGGGTGGGGTGGGGGATGGAAATAGCTGAAAGAATTCCCACTGCTAAGTAGTTGGCACATGGCCAAAGGGTTCCATTTTAGAGACTCCAGTCCCCCTCAAAGAGCCCTGTCATCAAGATAGATGACACAGATGGGGCACATTCCCCCCTCCAACCGACATTTCCATATTTCCATGTCACAAGCCTCCCTTCCCCCTCCCCCACCCCTGCATTCTGGCTCATGGTGTCCCCTCCCCAGTACAACCCTTGGCACCACCTGCAGCCACCAGCTCAAGTTCCACGGATGCCTTGGTCGTCACCTTCATGTCGCCCTCTCATCATCCCCACCAACCACCCGTCAGTCCTTGGTGTGCGTGACACAGCACAGGTGCTATAACACCGCTCCTCTCCCTCTAGCCTCCCGCCTGCAGGCCCCAGGTGAGGAGGAGGGAACTTAGGTGCCCCTGGATCTCTGTCTCTTCAGAAATAAGCCAAATTTGGTAATAGGTAAATGGCAGGTGGGCGCGAGACCTGTTTGGCTGAAGACTGCACAGAGGCGGTCTCAATTGGAAGAGATGAGGAAGGAAGTGAATTCTCTCCAGTGGTTCACCCCACATTTGAGAAGAGCCTCAGCCTCTCCTGCACCAAGTGGCAGCTTGTGCTCTCGTGTCAGCCTCTGCCAACCAGACTCAGCCCTTTTCTCCCGGACCCACAGCCCTCCACCCCTTGCCCACCTGCTGTTCCATGCAGCAGGAGTTGAGTCAGAAAGTCAAATGGGGTTTCTTTCCACTGCTCTGGCCATGCAATTGGCCAAGTCCTAGGCCTAAAGCCCTTACTCTGCAGCTCACCAGAGTTTTAACCTGGTCATCACCTCCCACTCTTAGCCAGGCAGTGCCCAGAAAGTCAGCCAGGGCAGAAGCAGCCAGACAGGACTCTGAAGTTCTCTGCCCACTGATTCTGGTGCCGTCACGAGGGCTGCACACCAGCCAGCTAGGGAGCGCCCCGGCCTGATTCATGCCCACCGTCAGCCTTTTCCCCAGTAGAAAAGTCAGAGCACATCCTAGCGTCTCCACCGCTGCCCTAGCCCACCACTGTGGATGGCATCCAGGTGTGCAGCGCCCACTCACCTGAGCATGGAGCAGGCCTCCAGCCCTCAGCTGCTCCTGCCTCCCGATCCCAGCTGCTGAGCTGAAGGAGACTCCGAGTGCACTGCTGGGGACCGCCAGCAGATGTAGGCAGCAGATGTAGGGGCTCAGGTCCTAGCTGCTCTGCCCCTCCCACTTGCCGTCTCCCTCCTCCTCCAGGGCAGGCTTGGCAGGGCAAGGCCCCCCAGGGGTAATGCCTGAGCCTCAGAGGGCAGAGATGAAGGGTCCCGTGACACCAGCTCATCCAGCAACTCGTTTCTCAGAACTTTGAGCTCACTCTTAAGCAGACGGCTTAGTGCAGTTTGCTCCTGTGTTGCTCATTAGATAACTCATTTTAGCGGGGACGTTTTCATCATCCAAGGCTGATCCCTGGGGACCCTTGACACCATAAGTCACACTGATACATGAAGACACTGCCCTCTTGGCACTCACAGTCCAAGGTGGCATTGAATAGGCAACACATTCCGGCACTAGTCACAGACCCAGACAGACCAGAGGGCGGGGTCCCCAGGACTCCTGTGACTGTTCTGCTTAGGGGTTTGCCTCACTGAGAGTGGGGGCAGGAGAGTGCCTGGGAGGCCTTCCAGGAGAAGGTGAACTTTCTCAGAGTAGCAGGAGTGACTGGCCAGCTGCAGGGTTAGGGCAGATGTTTGGTCTTGGCTGGAAGGCGGGAATGAAGAGAGGATGGCTGGTAACAGGTTTTCTTAAGGAGAGTGGAGGGCAGGCAAGACCCAGAGGCGCTAAGGTGACACGGCCACCTGCTCTCTCCTTAAGGACAGAGAACTGGTTAGCTGCTGCCAATAACTGGTTTGCTACCACCAATAGGCTTGATCAGTGACTCGGGGAGTAGAAGGAAATAGGGCTGATGTTTCCTTCAAGGGCGGGCACTGGATAGTCATGCTGGTGAGCACCACGGGATTCTGCAGGAGATTCTCTGCCTGTGTTCGGAGAGGGGAGTGCTTGACCTTGTATACTCAGGGCGTGTGTGCGTGTGTGTGTGTGTGTGTAATTGCGTGTCAGGACTAGTGTTTTATTTACTTGACAATCTGGGTTGAACATGTGTCTGGTACTGTGCTAGCCCTGGAACTACAAAAGGAAGCAAATGACAGGGCCCTCCCCTCACGGAGCTTACAGTCTGATGGGGCAGATGGATGTTAAATGCCAGTGCATGTGCCACAGGAACCCTCAGAGTAGGACGTTGGAGCTTGGGAAAGCTGGGAAAAGAGCAACATGAGGTGAGTCTGGACACATAGGCTCTGGAAGACACTAAAGTTTCATCTCTACCCTTAGGTAAGGTTTGTTTCTGCTGGAGAGTCACAGGGCTCGATTTGCGTTTTTAAAGTTTATTCGCACAGAGCAGAAAAGGGAAGTGAGAAGCAGGAGTCCAGCTGGAAAGGCAGTCCAGTGGCCCTAAGGGGCTCTTTCTTAGAGGCCCTCAGCTTCCGGGGACCTCATCCCAGGAGGGGAAGGGGGACTGTGAGCAAGGGCCCCATATGAAATCTTGCAGAGCTCCAGGTGCCTTGCCAGCCCTGCAGGTGGCCCGTGGGTTCTTCCCCGAAGCCTGGGGTTGGCCAACAGACCACAGCATGTGGTCTCTGCTCTGCCTGTACCATTCTGGGGTCCCTTTCATTGCATTAAGATGGGAATTTTCAAGGTCTTAAGGAACTGATGGGTCACACGGTTTTCACCTTCCCTCTACTCTCCTTTCTCGTCCATCAAATGGGAAACCGAGTCATCTTTAGCTGGGCCTGTCATTTCAGAGTCTGCAAGGAGGTGAGAATCTTCAATAGTATTAAAAGGCCAGACACTAGCATTGCTCCCTGTGATTGGCAGCAGCTAACAAAAAGGGCCCATATCCCAGCCCCTTTAAGGAATTCCCTGGGTACCACTCGAGCAAGTGACAGGGGGGTACTGACTACTCTGTGGTGCCAGATTTTAGCTAATACAGACATTTTCACACCATCTCTCCCTTTGGCATAACCCTGTGACATGTCCTGCTAGACTTTAGACTTTCAGGACTAAAGAAACAAGCCCCTGTCTCACTGAATGTGGGGGAAAATCCAGATCCAAAGCACTCTGGGGATTTGTATATATTATTCATTTTCCCTTAATGTCGTATGGGAAGGGCTCAGTGACTTTGGGTAGGAAAATGATCACAATTTATTAAAGCTCTCTTGTCCCCACAGAGGAAAATGAATTATATGACAGTTTCCAAGAGGCTCAGCCCCATAAAGTCCTCTTACTCCCCAAGGCCTGGGTTAGATGCTCTGAACTCCGAGGTCCTGGCCTACAGAATATTCTACAGTCCTGTCACTGCTGAGTGGGCTCCATGGGCAGGGCCCTGTGGACTTGAAAAGCGGGGTAATTAATTCCATGCGACTCATGGAACTTTGAGTTCATTTGTATAAAGCCATTGCTTCTATTTCATTTTCAGCCCAGCAAGTCCCTCTCCATGGGACAGTGCCCCCCTCAACCCCCCAGTGTCCAGGTAGATGAGCTGGGAAGGCATGGTCCTAATCACACACACACACACACACACACACACACACACACACACACACACATACAAACTCTGCCACTAACAGAACCTGACTCTCCAGGATGGCAGACCACATGCTGCCCTTTGGAGATGGTTTCAGGGATTTGGGCCCATTTCTGACCTGAGGCTAAAGCACAGGACTCCATTCACCAGCCTCTCTGGGCCACTGTCAGAGCTGACACTCTGTCACATCACACACACACACACACACGCACACACACAGAGAGAGAGAGAGAGAACTGCCCCCCCTACGCTGGTCAGTCCACATCTCCAGTCCAGCCCATGGGTCAGCCATGTTCATGTCTTTCTCACTTCACCGGTATGGCATGTAATTAATCCCTTGTGACCGGGTAGGAATGAAGACCTCGGTGACCCCAAGGGCGATTTCATGCTTGCAAAACCAGCTTTCAGCCTCAGAGGAACTCCAGTCAGAAGCCACAAGTCCCCTAATCTGAGAGGGCCTAGCACAGAAGGCCCAGTTGGCGAACAGGCCACAAAAGGGGCCTCTGGACCCCTGGGGGG